GGGGGCCAATCCTACTTCGCGGATTTTCACCTATCGCGAGGAGTTCCGGTCCCCATTAACCGCGATAAACGAGGGATCACTGTATATTATTTTTTAATTTCATTTTTCTACCTACGTGACTTTACCGAAAGAACCAAAGGGTGGATAAGGAGTAAAATAGATAGGATCTGCACTATTGAGTTCTGTTATAATGAATCTGTTATAATGAATCGTGTCACCTTATGTGTAGAGGTATTACGTAGAGGGGGTAGCAAGTCCGTTACATTGGGGTGTCTAATACAACGTCCGCATACAGTCCCGCCCCTCGGGGGGGCAGTTGGGTATATAAGGCGGTGCGCGAGAGAGCTCGAGGCAGTCTGTTGGAGCAGAAGAACCAGTGAAGACTGAAGACCAGCTAGCTAGCCCTGGGACTACCTGACTCGCTGCTCTTATAAGAGCCGAGCAGGCAAGCCAGGGGTGACCTCAGAGCAGCGAGGTCTGTGTCCTTGTGAGGGCCAGGCTCGGGTGCTGAGGGTCGGACCTGAGCCGAAGCTGGGCCAGGTCAGTTAGCCTCTACTAGGATGGTCTGGGTTAGAGGAGTGTAGGAGCTAACGGGGAAACGTTAGCAGAGGGACACTGCCTCGGAAAGACCGGGTGAAGGGGCCGTTACCCCTTCCTGTGTTAGGGTGCCTACGTACTGTTAGTACCCATTTATTAATAAATACGTGTTGCCTCCGTCAAACGCTCCTGCGCTACTTACGCCGTTACATATGTATGCATTTGTGAGTCCACAATGACACAGGTGTAATGCGCTTGACCTTTGTCTTTTGTTTCAGATATCCGAGAGCAACTCGGCTGTGAGTCATGGTGCTGGAAGAATTTCCTTTACCATCGATGGTACTTCACCAGCAACCGTCTCGACCCTACCTCACTCCGATAGTCACTAGAGTGAGAAAACGAATCTCTTGCGACGTCTGCAGGAAAACATTCCAATTGGCATGGTGCCTAGAGTCCCACATGAGAATGCACAAGACTGGTGGTCAAAGCTGCAACATCTGCGATCAAAGCTTTGATCAGCCCGACAAACTCAGAAGGCATATGGAGACCCACCGTGTCAAGGGGCGCACGTGGCATAGTGAATGACGACAATTTTGCCAATGCGGTGTTGAAGGTGTGTGAGAGCAACTCAGCTGCGAGTCATGGTGCTGGGAGAATTGCCTTTGCCATGGGTGGCAACAGCAGCAGCTTGTCGAGTCCTGGTGGTGAGGAGGCAGAGTTGCAGACAATGGCACTTTCTGCAAAGGGCGCACCTGCGTGCAACGAAGTTATTGCTATCACAGCAACCGCGCATGGAACGAAGGCGCACGCTGGGAAATGCCACGCCTCACCAGCGCCCGTCTCGACTCCACCTCACTCCGATAGTCACTAGAGTGAGAAAACAAATCTCTTGCCAAGTCTGTGGGAAAGCATTTCAACTGCCATCATGCCTAGAGTCCCACATGAGAATGCACAAGGAGACCCCTGACCAATGGTGTGGCATCTGCGGACAAAACTTTGATCAGCCAGGCAAATTCAGAAGGCATATGGAAACCCACAAAAGGGACTATTAAATGTCTTTGCTGTTCTATTACCGAATGCTATGTTGGGAAAACAGGACGAATGATCAGCACGAGACTAAAAGAACACCAAAGAAATCTGAAATATGGTCGTAGGGTAGTTGCAGTTCTATAGCGTCAATATGCTAAATTCCTCTGTTGATATGTAAACTCCTTTGTCAAGGCACTCTGCTCCTCCCACCTAGCTTAAAATACGCTGCCAAGCTTAACAGTGTTCATTAGGACGCTGTTTTTCCGACAGCTCTGTTCTTCACCTGAGGACGGCTGCTTGTGTTGTGGCCGAAACGTCGTGATAATTTCATTTTATTATTTATTTAGTATTTATTATTTTATTATTTCCCTTTTTATGTGACTTTACCGAAAGAACCCTGCAGTCACGAAAGCTTTAAATCAAAATGTATCATTGTAATCGTTTGGATAGCTACTGACTTCGTGCTGCATGGAAGTGAATCATCAAATTACCGTTGGTACGGCTATTTTAGTACACACAATGGACACTAAGTGTCGTGTTGTAGAACGACACTACTGTATTGGCCCAGTATGGGGGCCGTAGGCAGGTGTCACGGGGGTCGTGTCAGGCCGTGACACTCTGCGTGAACCCAACAGGACACGTGACCCGATAAAGGGAGGCCACGGGCCCCAACGGAGTCACGGGGTTGGGGTTCGGGCCTTCCCGAAGGATCGGGAAGGGGGGTGTGGCCTGGGGCGGGGCTGGCCACGCCGGAGTGGTTATAAGCGGTGTGTGGACGGAGAGCTGGGCTGGTTTGCGCTGTTCTGCTATGCTGCTGGGTCATCTCTGGGATGAAGCTCTCCGGTCTCCGTTAGTGGACCAGGCAGCATGTCGGGCTGTCCTGGTCCAGTAATGTAATATCCTCGTGTATTAGTTAAGTTATGAAAGGTGGCTACCACCTTAAGTCGTCATGTTAAGTGTTAATTGTTATGTTAACGCTCAACACCAAAGTACAGGTGTATCGGGCCATGGCTAACATCAGTGGTGACTGATATCTGAACCAGTCCTGAGCCTAATCTCTGCCCCCTTCACCAAGCATGGTGAAGTTTGGTGCAACAACCCCCATGACCAAAACAACGTGGCAAGACCTTCATCAGGCAGTGGACTGCCAGAGGGGTGTTACACACACAATCTTCAGATTGGCTCCCCGATGGCATATTGGTGATGCTCACTGACCCTTTGATGTGAAAAATTAAAGAACCCCAAGTGTCTGTCGCCAACTCGCAACAATTTTGAGGAGCAACCCGTGGCGGTCAGGCAGATCACGAGGTGACCAGAGGGGTGAGGAGGGGGGCACTTAGGAGGGGCTGCAAAACCTCGATTCGCGAGCACACAGCGCCGTCTCGTACAATACAGCGCACCGATGGGCACCGCCGCTGCCGCCACCGGGCTTGGCTTTCTGCGCCAGTTTCATAAAGGTTGGTCACGGGGCCGTGAAAAGGTTGCAGTAGGAACTTATTAGTGTTGCCCCACAACGCAGTCCACAGCCGGCAGCTGCAGAGCACACAGCAAACAACTGAGACCTGGAACCCTCTCTCTTTCATTTGGAGGCGGCCGAGTTGCTAGCAGTCCTTTTCCGCTGGCGCATCCGATCTGTGTCAGCGCGAAGGCCCTCCATGGAATGGGTGGTTTTCCATTGGATATTTGCCGTGCCAATATAAAATCAAACTGTAATACGCCGCCCTTACAAGACTTCTCAAAATGGTCTAGGGGCCAAACAGGGCCAGATGTGATGCTAGTAATAAAGTGTCCATTGCGTACGACGTGAACAGCGTTAATGTGACTGCACGAAGTTATGGAAACATGGCCGAGTGGTAGTTCTCGATTCAAGCCCAGCATCCACCCTGGTTAATTTGACAGTTTATTCACCATAAACAAAGTGGTCTGTTTCACAATGTAGGATAATAATCCCATGACAATGTATTTAAAAAATGTATTGGCCACGTGTAACTACATCATGTTCCAGATTTGCCAAATCAGATAAAATACTTGCAAATTACTTTATCGGGGAAAAAACAGGTAGGAAAATCGAACATCGCTCCCTGCTGGCAGACATGTCCATTCACAGGCCACTAGTGCACGCACCACATGCCAAACAGGAACAGCTGCCATTGGGGAGGCGAGGGAGACTGCCGCAGGGCAATGGAACTGTTGAGATGAGACGTTGCTGCAAGGCGCTTTGAGTTGCCGAGTTTATTTCAGCGAGCGCCCTATATCTACAAATCCTGATCCCCATCTCCGAGCCGCCCCGGTGGGCCCTGCAGTGGCCCGCGTCTCACCGCTGCGGTGTCGAGGCTGCCGCACTGGCGGATGAACTCCAGCAGCTCGTCGCGCTTGGGGCAGAAGCTTCCCGCCGTGGCTCCAGATCCGCCCAGGGCAGAGATCACAACCCAGTCTCCTCCAACAGCTGCCACAGACACAACAAATCAACATCGGTTGGTTGACACCGAGGTGATCGCAAGGCAAACACCGGCTTAATGCTGAACGATACGCATGGAGCTGCTTCTCACAATGCAGTGCACGAAAACTAATAAAATATTAGAGATTTAAGTTTGCATATTAAAACAAAATTCATTCTCAATTTTTTTTTCCAAATGCGCTATCGGCATGTCAAGAGACGAATAATCCATTCGTAAATCTCGCATAGCCGTGCAGCCCGTGTGTCATTAAAATGCTGTGGGTGGCCTTTTATCTTTTACACAATAGGAGCCAACGTTTTCACATGAGCTGTGCTATGAGATTGTGCGGCGCACGAGAGTCAAGCTGAAATTGTTATTCTCAGAGCTGGAAATAGGAAAATGAAGTGCAAAACACAAGTTTAATAAGATTGATGTTTTGTGCAGTCACTGCTGACGGGGCTGAGACGATCAACTTGCTAGACTTGAAAACTCGGTTTAATCCCAAGCGGTCAAAATCCAGATTAAATCCCAGAACCTCATTATTGACAACGCACCGCTTTGATCTCTGAGCCACCCGGCCACTTTGCATATATAGTGTTATGAACATTTTTTCCTTAATGTCACTTTTGTACACTCACTTTAAAGGTGTTTTTTTCTCTACTTTTGGGATGTTTACCAAATTCAGGTACATGTTTTAAGATTGACAAGCGAAAACCCATGAATCTTACGTGATAATTTGTTGTGCTCTGCATTGGCAGTGATTACATAAGCACAAACAACACTCAAACGTATTTGAGTTATCAACAACTGAGTTTTAAGTTCATAATAATAAACTAATATTATTGCGCACAATTTCGGAAGTGAACTTAAGTTTGCGCGCCACTCAGAGGCGGGAAGTACACTCAAACCTTGCACGGGCAGTGTCGCACACCTACTTGCTGTACTGTCTCTTACAGCTGGAGGCGAGTGGGCTCACGCATGTCACGTACGCACCTGGAGGATGTCCAAGAAGGAGCCGAGGCCCAGGCTGGGGAGGTCGCACGAGTCAAAGTGCTCGGCAAGCTGCTTCTCCACGCGTGACAGCGCGGGCAGGCCCAGGAGCTCTGCCATCGTAACTTGCGTGGCTCAGCAGACGGACCAGCTGCTCGGCTACCGCCTCTGTGAAGGAGAGGAGCAATGCCATTGTAGAGAGGACAATGTTGTAACTCGCTCCAATAGGCTCGACAATTGCAACTCTCTCGCCCCCCCACCCCCACGTCTCATCTACGACTCCCCGATACGTTTCATCGCCAGATTCCAGAAGACTAAAAAAACAAGTTTAACACGAAGGCCTTCGCGACCAATATTAGCCGCAATAGAGATTTTTGGATTAGGTCGAATAAATAGTGCATATTTACGCGTATTATTGAGTGCATATTTACATGATCTAACCCAAAAATCTCGATTATGGACTCAAAAAAACGCTGGCAGACATCTCACTCACACCCGTATGCAAAACGATATCGCCCTAATATTCCAATTGTTCAACTATCCCCCGTACCAGTCCAGAATAAATTTCAAGTTCACACTCAGCATTCTGAAGGTCCTCCGTGGTCTGACCCCTTATGTACAATACAAGAAACTACATTTTATTCAGATTGTGCTTTAGATATCGTGCCATGAGAGGAGTATCCACTCGATCTCTCACAGAGCAGCGGAACCCGTCGTGTTGGAGAATGGCCCACAGAAGAGAACATCACAAAGCTACCTCTGACATCGCTTCTAGTGACCTCTGGTCCACACAGTAAAGGAAGCACATTCCCACCCACTCCGTTGAGCCGATATTGGACTTGGTCAAATAAGTGCACAGCCATTTATTTTTAATGTTTTGGGTTTTTTTACAGTCATTAATGACCGGGCTGAAACCATCAACTGGCTGCACTTGACAAAAGCAAGTTTAATCACAGGTGGTTACCCAGATTCGAACCCAGGATCTCAGCGTTTCCAGCTCAGTGCTCATAATCTCTCTCAGCCACCCGGGCCATCTCGACGTACATTTGACAAATTGATGCATCTTGATACGCCAAACTCTTACTAATGCATTGGTAATAATTGAGACGAGATGTGAAATAAGGTGTTTTGAGAAGCTACGGCAATTCAGCGAGCGTGCAATCCAGTAGACTCTTGATTATCCGCGTGCGGTTTATCTGATTTGCGGATTAACCAGCACCCGAGATTTTGACTTATTAATAACTCATGGATTTTCCCTTAGGCCCAAATTAATAATCTAAAAATAGTTATACAATGTAATTCTTGGAAATGTTTGTTACAAGTCACATTCTTAAATCGAACAAATATGTGCTCCCAGGAATCCGAAATCTATGTGATCACCCCGACAGTAAAGTAGATGCAATCTTTATAACAGTGGGTGGAGTTTGATTGATGGTGATTAGCGTGGTTCTGCTATCCACTTAGAGGGCAGAGTCTTCTGCTCGGGAGCAGGAAAGTGTCATCACCGCGCACGTGCATTGATCGGTCGATCGTTAGTTTTTGGCATAAAGATCCGCAGAAAATACGTATTTTTGGATCATCCGAGATTTTTAATCATCCACAGCCATCCTCCCCGGATAATCGAGAGTCTACTGTAATTGCAAATTTGTTTCCTTACTCTCCGGAGGAGGCGGCAGTCTGGTGTAGGGAGTGCTGATGTTGCCGAGAAACGCGGCCGGTTTCTCCTTGACCACGAGGTCAGGGAGTCTCGAGCGAGCCACAGCACATAGCCAACTGAAACAGCTTCCGGGCCAGCGTGTCCCCTTTCACCTGCCCCAGGCAGTCCTGGACACACTGTCGGTGGAGACAACAAAGGACCCAAACCACGTGTTCCATATCACACTGTTGGGGCAAATAGAAGGTGATGAATGCATAGATGTCCGACCGATTTCAATGCCCCTCTTACTTTTGTCTCAACGTGTGACTGAATTTTGTGAAAGCGATGACCCTAAATCTTATAGGCGAAAGTGTTAATTCAGTGGTAGAGCAAGTCTTTTGAAACTGGTGGAAGTATCCACAGACTTGAAACGTATGGCGATTATCACTCATTCAATAATTCCGAGGACAAATGTATTGTGGAAAATCTTTGACAAATCTAAGCAGATGCATTAATTTTCTCGCACGGTAATTTTGTTGCATTAAGTCCAGACGCCATGGCCCCCACCTTCTTCAGCTTATTCACAAAGATGTCCTCGGCGTTCTGGAAGACATGCAGCACCATCTCGGCCACCGGCTATATCGTGAACTGTCAGTAAAGATCGGCGCTCGTCCCTGGCAAGGGGAATGACTCCAATAGGTATTTCTTGATCTTGTGTAGCCGGCCCTCCACCTCCTGCTTGATGTCGCACTCGATGCGAGCCAGATAACGGTCCAACGCCTCCCACTCGCCTTCCTGGCCTTGCCGATCACCTAAACAAGCAAAGCAAAGTGAGCAACCGTGGTGGCCACAGGTGCAGCGCATGCTGTAGTTGCGATGATGGAACACGTGATGGACGAGTGGTTCAACGGCGAATGCGGTGTGCTGGCAATGCACGATTGCATCGAGAGATGGGGTTGGTGGATCATCCTAGCAGCAGTGGCTTGTGGCGAGCCATCTAACAAAGACAGTCACCGCATCACTCGCTTCTGGGGCCAACTGGAATGCTCTTCCTTCCGATATCACTGGTCAACAAAAAAAAAACATTTTTTTCTGGCCTGGACTTTTGCAGCTGTTTTTGACAAAGTTCAGGGTGCTGATTCCAAATCTGATCTCAGATTTGCTCTATCACATCGGCATACCCCATTTTCATTGATTTTACCCAAAATTAAAGTTCTTGCGAGTCAGTGACTGCTTTAGTGTTAAAATATGGTGCTGTATTTTAGGATAGTGTGTTTATAATATAATTTATGTAGATATCCACATTATTTAATATTTTTCTTCTGCAGTTTTGATTGAAAATGCAATATTTGATATCTCAAAACCTGATGTGATAGACAAAAACGGATGCCAGATTTGGAATCAGCACCCCAAAATTACCTTAAAGCCGTTGGAATACCTTATGCCAGAAAAAGTGTGTTGACCAGTGTATTAGGAAGCCACTTTTAAATAAAGATTGAAATAATTTCTTTAAAACTGCTTTTTGTGTTCAGTGTGTTGTCCTTCTCCACACCTCTGATTAGCACAATTGGTTACGTACACTGCGAAAGAAGTTCACCATACATAAATGTGGTTTTACCCAATCCAGTAATTTCAGAGATTTGCAAATTTATATGGTGACACCGGCACACGTCCTCTTCATTTATGAATAATATCACTGGATTTTTTTGGTTTTTACATTATTGTGGAAATGCAGTTTTTATTAATACACCCGCAGTATTAACGAGGGCGACCCCTGGGCTTGAATCGCGAACCTCTGAAACAAGCGACAAATGCACAACCACTCGGGAAAGTAGATTTCCGGAAGAAGCAATACAACCCGTTGCAAACATGACAGTAATTTGAATGTAGCACTGTACATCAGAACAATTTGAAAGGCGTTAGAGATTTGAAACTAACCAAAAAGAAAGGGGGAAAATAAATCTATTTTTACATAATACAGTTTTTTTTTGGGTAAGATCACGTAAATATATAATGTCGGTAAACCCACCACCACCCGACACAGCTAATTAGTAAGGTTTGTCACTTAAACAGAACATGCCAATTCGTTACCAGTACAGCACACCGGTTGGTGTTAGAGCATAGCCACAACATTTACAATCTGAGTACGACGTTTCGCCAGTAATTGCAACCAGTATCATCAGGAGGCACCAGATTTGTGGATTTTTTAAATGTATATTTATTTAAATTATATTTAAAAACAGAAAGAGAAACTGGAACATTATTTGATTTAAAGCTTTCGTGACTGTAGGGATTCATATTCTTGGTTCTTTCGGTAAAGTCACGTAGAAGGGA